TCCATTTTAATATTTAGAAGGTAAGTTCAGTTGATGGACACTTTGTGTAATAAAAAGCTCTTTTAAAGTACGTGCACACATACACACACAGGATAAAAAGTGGCACCGCCAGTGCCTGTGGCTTTCATGGAGTACATTTGTAGAGCCCAAAGCTTAGTCCTGGATATGTTTATAGCACTTTAGCTCCGTTTGTGAGTTTGGAACCCTTCCAAAAAAAGAAGAGAACGACATATATTATTGTTTATAATCTGCTTTATTCTGCCAAACCTTGACTGAACAGACCTGTGGATTGCTGTTTAAATCCCTCAGTGCCTTTAACTACCGATGCGGAGAGTGGTTAATGTGCATCCTCAACGAAGCTTGGCATCCACTCCAGGAAATCACTTTAATTGAGAAGCATTAAATGTTAAAATGATTCTAAAAAAATAATAAAGCCAGCACACATATTGAGCATAAAAGTCCCGGCCCGTCAGTAATACAGGTTCTTGGTTATCGTATTCCTCCACCCTGGGTGAGCTTTAAGCCTGCAGTTTGACAGGTGTCAAAAAAGTGACTTTCAATTCCCTAGGTCACTGTCTGCAGGCAGCCACCCATTAGCTGGCCGGTGAGCAGGCAACCTTAACGGGCTCCACTTTAGAGAAGGGGAGGGAGCTGTCAACTTTATAGATGTTTGTTCTTCTGGAATAATAAGCTGGTCCCAGCTGACCAAAATAGGAAATTTAACCCCAAAGTCCTTGCCTGGGCTTTCCATTGCTGTGCTGAAGCCATCTGTTGAAACCTATTTACCATTTTAATGGCCTTTTTAAAAAACTGCTTATTTCCAACTCCAAGTGTATGCCAAGAGCACTTTTTTGGACCTATATTTTATCTTTCATGAAGCAAGTCCCAGTCTTTCCAAAATCCCCAAACTCCTCCCAACCAACAGGAGATTCTGGTCCAGGCTGGCAAGCACGTGAGAGAAAGATAAATCTTTAACACTCTCCCCGGCTCTAGAGACAGCCCAGCCTACATCGGCCTTGAAAGCTCTGGCCGGTTCAGAGGTCTGCTAAACAACCTGGAGGATGAATGAGCCACACCCCAGGAGCCCCTCCCGTGAGAAGGGAAGCGTGCATCCTGTCAGGGACAGCCTATGACTTCTTCATTTCATTACAAAATAGCATTCCAGTTAATAACATACTTAAATGCACTTTTTGTATTTAACAGGGGAGATGGCCAAAGGAAGAACCACCAAAGGAAAGGTCTCTCAAGGAAAATCCTGAAGTCACATTGGATAAAAATGAGAGAAGAAAATGAATGAAAAAGTCATAGAGACAAACGTTGCATGCAAAAGCCCACGCCCACTTTCTCTGAAAGGCTAGGATGTACTCTCCTAGGGCAGGGGCTATCATTTGGAAGACCTTTATTTAATCGTTTGGTTGGGTTATTTTTATTACTCCTTTTACAAGTATGATAATAAAAAATTCTCTCTTCCTAATGATTTGGCCCCATTTTATAAACATTGGTGTTTTTCTTCCTCTTAGCTCACGCTGTGCCCCAGTAGCAGGGCTGACCATCGCTGACTCCCCTGAGGCAGCCACGACCCAAACAAGCACCCAGACTGAGCCCCATCCCTCACCACCCCCGACAGCCGGCAGGGGACCGATGAGGAAAGGCACCAGGAGTTCCAATGATAAAACTGAACTAGCATTCTTCTCAAGAGGTGTGGCAAAGGGACGCAACAATTGTCCGTTTAGACTCTAAGGGATAATTTTTAAGCTATGTCTCAACTATCAAATCCAAGGAAATACATTCAGATACATTGAGGATAACCTCTCTTAGGATTTTACTTCTAGCCTGGCCATTGGCTAAAATGTATGTCACACTGACCTGCCTTTGGTCTCTTTCTACCCTTTTCTGATTTTCGCTGAGTAGAGTCCTGGCCCAAAAAGAAAGAAGGCTAAGAGAATTTTCCACTAAAACACTGAGTGTTGAGCCGCCATTTGCTCTCCTGAGTTTGTGTCTTATTTCATTCTTCTGGCCAGTGGTTTCTTTCTTTATTCTTTAAGCAGCTGTCCTTTTGAAAAGCTCCTGTCAGAAAGAGAATCACAGTGCTCAGGAGCTGGTCTCTAGGGACCAAACCAAAAAGAGGACCAGATCATCTCTTTCCTTTGTGAGCCGAGAACACATTTTATAATTTCAGAAAGTTCCTAGATTTGCATTGTGGTGGGGCTGTATGCACAAAGTGGAAAGGATCAGTGAATTGTCAGACTGATGTACTCAAAACAATTATGAGTGACAACAAAGACTCGATATAGACAGGCTGCTGGTGAGGGCTTTGAGAATGGAAGACTCAAGTCATGGCGTACAGTGCATATACTGGCAGAATCCTCAGGCCCCATTATTAGTGCCTCACGGATACTCAGATGAGTACATTTAGGAGCAACGGAGCCCTTCACAGCCACTTTGCAAATTTCCCTAACCACCAGCCAGGGACTGAGCTAGTGAAGAAAAACTAAGTCCTCACGTACAGCACCTCCTGTGTTCCTCTACCAACACCCCACTCCCATCCGATGCTCTCATCTTCACCCTTCCTTGGTGCCTAACCCAGTAAAGTCCTTTGGCTTTCTCAGCCTAGTAAAATATTGACCACAGAAGATGATACGGCAAAGGACCATCAGCCCCTTTCCTTGATAGCAGAGATTTGGGTGTCCCCTAAAAGACCTTGAAGCCCTCCAGGAATCTCACTGAACATCCTGCTGGGAGCCGGTGTCTTTCTGTTTAGTGAGTAGACTATGGGGCAAAAGTGGGTCTAGGACTCACGTAGAGTCAGCACAACCTGATGGTAGCCTTAGACTGAGAACTCAGAGGCCCAGCACCCAGGCCCCTGCTCTGTACCTAAGCAAGTCATTCTTGTGTGTAGTGCCACACACAAAATATGATGGCAGAGAAGTGGCACTACTACTGTCTAAGGGATCTCAGAATACTTCACCAAGTACTCCAGGATAACTGAGAGCTAAACGGGATGGATGAGTTTTCTCTGCCCATTCTCCTTAGCCGGTCTCTATCAGCACTGTCCAATAGAACTTTCTGCAGTGATAGAAATGTTTTATATCTGGTGTGTCCCAATACAGTAGCCACTAGCCACATGTAGCTATTGAGCACTCGAAATATGGCTAGTGTAGGAACTAAACTTGTAGTTTAAAATTAATCAACTGAAATTTAAAGAGCCATGTGTGGCTGGTAGCTACCATTTGGTCAGGGCACCTCCATTTGGATCTTCTCTTCAACCAAACAAAACTAATCACTAATGGAAAAAGCCCTCTCTCACTTTCCCTGGATGGAACCTGAGGTCTAAAGATATCCTATGAGTTTCATTTATTTTTTTTAATGAAAGAATCTCTGTGTTGCTCTTTCCATTCCAGCTAAACTTCAGGTCCTGCTCGCTGATAAAGCCTCGTGCAGGGAAAAAACCTGAATGGAGGTTTTCCTGGCAAAGCTTGTCCAGGAGCCCTGACGACTGATGAGGTGTCTCTATTCCTCTGTCCACCTCTCACCCAAATAGAGACACTTGCGCCTACTTTCTCTAGGGGGAACATGTGTAAGTGTGAAGGACTTTAAAAATGCAACCGGGCAAAGAGTGACTAAAATGATGTGGTCAGAGGGTTTTCTCTGCCCATTCCCTAAGTCTCAGAGCAGAGGACTCAGCCCCAGAAAATTGCTATTAGAAAGATCAGAGAACTTCCTCTAATCAGCCCTTTATTGAGCAGATCTGGTTTTCCTGGTTGTAAGTAGTTCTGGCATTCAGAGTTGTATTTGGGGTTTCCTCCTGATGATGAAAGGATCCCATGTTACCTCAGCTTCTTATTCTATTTATGTCAAGAGAAAAAACTTCCAGAGAACCAAAAGAAAAGCAAGACACATCGGCGTCTAAAGAATTTCCATATTTATTTGACATAGTTTTACCATACACATCTCATGCCAACACACAGGAGGCACATACAAACAAACGCACCAGATCTGTGTTCCAAAGTCACATGGCAATAAATAAGGATGGGTGGGTCCTTTTTTTTTTTTTTCTTTTTTTTCAGGAAATGAGACCATTTCTTTTTAACTGTACAAAATTTACACGGTGAAGGGTGAGGGCAACAATCCAGAGCTTAGGGGATCTGGGGCTTTAAGGTCTGAATTCAAGTTCAGAGCAGCTTCTGGGATCCTGCAGCCCCGAACCTGGCGTTCAGCTGAACACAGTCCTCGAGTGGGGAAGTACAAATGATTCTTGTCTCTAGGTGGGCAGCAGATGAGCATGGGGGTGTCCTTCTCTGTCCACCTGTGCTCTGCCTCCCCAAGCGAAGGAATGCTTGGCGCACCTCCCAGACCTGCAGCTGTCTCCTCACCAGAGCTAGCAGCATGAAACTGTGCTTTCAGTGTGGTCCTACCAAGCCGTGTGTGGGTGGGATGACTCTGCCATGCTCTCTCTTTTTGGCTCCAGTCACCGTGTTAGACCAGTTGGAGCAACTCCTGCAAAAAGGGCCAATGGACCAATCCAAGAAAGAGAGAGCCAGTGATGTGCTTTTGATTTAGCTTTCAGCGTGCCCACGGCCCTTCAGCAGCAGGCAATAAAACAAAACTCATTTCCGCTTAATTGAATTTGTCTTCATCTCACCGTTTCCAATTTTTAAAGTGCAATGTTTAAAAATGAGCCTCCTCAGGCCTTCCAGCCCCTGCTGGCTGAGGAGGTATGGTCATTATCTCCATGGTTATAACCAAGTTGTCAGGAGTGGCATGTGGGAGGTGTGGGAGTGTGGGCGCCAGGCAGCGCAGGGTCACATGGCCCCCAGTGGTTAGCCTCGCTGAAGCCGTGAAGCCTCTTCTGTGAGGAGGCGGTTGTTAGAAGATAACCAGCTTGAGCTTCAGAGATGGTCATGTCTTTTGTTCTACAGATTTCTTAGACTTCTTGCAAAGTGAACTTAATTATGAAGATCTAATGGCCCCCAGTGATCTTATTAGATTTCATGTTTTACATTGGCAAAAAAAAAAGAAACCTTTTAAAGACACTGCCAAATGCTTTTCTTATGTCATAATGTCTTCTTTCCCTGATGCTTTACCGTATTAGTTTGCAGGAATAATGTTATCATATGGTAGTTGATTTTCATTTTACATTATATTCATAACTATCAGATGAGGCAAGAAAGAGAAAGCACAGAGATAGAAAAGAGTTTGCCTCAGGCTGCACAGCAAGTCCCTGAAAGGAACCGGGCTTCCCAACAATGTGATTTACCCAGTGGGCCAGCTTAGTGCTTGCATTTGGTATTTCCTTCATGGTTTTATTGCTTTTCAGCAAATATAGATTCTTCCATAGCCCCACACGTCCCCTTTCTGCTTATACCAGGTACCACTGGAATCTTGGGGCAGGGGTTATTATTAATTATTATTATTATTAATTTGCTCCTGGATTCAGAAGCCTCCTACCCTAAGGTCTATCAGCCAGGTACTGCAGATAATGGTTGCTAGTTAATTGCTCTCTTAGAGCCAAAGACAGGTCCAAATATTGTAAATGCCTCTAGAAGGTCTCATTTCATTTTTAAAATTGATCCATGTCATTTTTGCAAGGGAGAAAACAGCTCCCATATAGCACCTTATACCTCAGTAATAGACGCCTGAGCAACAGAGGAGCGTCGGGAAGAGAATCTCACGGTAATGTTTTGTTCTTCTCCATCTTGGAGCCACAGAAGAGCCAAGGAACAGTCTTGGCATGCACTGGCTCATTGGTGGCACTGGCCCATCCGTAATGCTAACCCCACTTGCAAGGAGATCCACTTAAAATGGGAGACCTGTTGTGGCTGTGCTTCTAAATGGGGCGCCAGTGTTTAGCTGCTTTCTGAGGAGGTGGCTCTGGGGAGCCTCAATCCGGCCCTCCTGGCTTTCCAGCCAGTGCCCTCTCAGGAGCTCTTCTGGCTAGCCCACCCCTCCAAACTGAAGAAGCTACTCCCAACATCAGCTGCACTGCTCACTGAGTTCCTCAAGAGACTTCTGTTATTAATGTGACTGAGGAAGGCCTCCCCTTCTCCCACCAGTGAGTAGGGAGTGAGCATGATTAACTCGCATACAAAAACGAAAACTGGTCAACTTCAGTCGATCTTAAAAAACAGTGCTACGCGGAGGGGCACACCCCTTCAGAGAGCCTGCTCTCCTGCTACACTCGCCAAAACTACAGAGTGCCTCCGAGATCCCACGAGATACTACGCCAAGCGACCCAGCCGAGTCAGTGGTCTGGGTGGGACCGTTTTTAACTGGTTCACTGCCCAGCACAGTCTTTCTCCCATGTATTGTAAGCAGCCTGCTAAGACCAGTGTGTTGAAGAAGCTGTCCTCAGAGAAGACAGCTGCTTTTCCTTCCCTTCACATGGCTTCTTATCTTGCGCTTGTGTCCCCATCCTCACCCACCATGCTCACGTTATCGAGGAATTCCCAATAGCACAGAATTGGCTTAACCTGGAACCATCTACACCTGGAACCTCAAGAAAAGAAGAGTCTACATTTGCAGGCTCCCGAAGCAAAAGTCATGACAACTGCAGCACATCAAAAAATAAGGGTACAGCACAAAATTGATCAGAGAAAAGACGGTCTGAAGGCTGATCCCAGGAATTTACTATGTATTTTAAAGAAGCTTAACGGACCTTAGTTAAGGCCTGGAAAAGAGTTTACAAAAGATACAGCAGCCAAAGAGGCTGCCTACCACATGCCTACATCTTTTCAGTCCTCAAAAGGTGACGAACCATTCACAGAAGGAAGGGTCCTTAGGGGCTTTGGCCCCATCGTTTCATGTGAAGACGGGCAGTGCCTTCTTACCCTTTCCTACTCTGCTGAACTTGTTTAAGAGAATGGGAGGCCGGAAGAAGCAAACCACAGTTTCCCAAGGGGAGTGGAATAAATGCCACCAGCTAAACTCCAGTGTGCACAGGAGCACTTCCTGATGGACAGGTGCGTGGTGCATAAAGTGGGAGTTGTAACACCATTCACGATAGTATTTCCCACAGAAGTGCCGTCTGTCACGGGGGCGGCAGCTCATAAAGCAGGGGTCGGCCTTGCGTTGGCCTCCGGCTTGGTGAGGTACTATTGCAAACCCACAAGCCGAGAGTCTCTGTGCTGCCTTTGGCTGGAGAGCTCTGCCCTTCTGAGCGCAGGACTGGAGCACCACAGGGCCTGGCACGAGTCAGCCAGCCACCCAGAGAGGTGCAGCCCAAGGACCACTTGGAACCCTTTGGACAATTTTAGGGCTGCTCCCTAAATTATTCCTTCCAAGCAAGAGAGGCCAAAAAGCATTGCTGGTACTTGGAGGAGCCCAAGATTGCACTCCAGTGAGCCAGCTGGCACAGCAGAGAAACCTCTCATTTGTAAGGGGCTGGGGAGGGTTAGCTGCAGGTGGGGGTGGGCTTGCAAACTCGGCTAAACCAACTCCCTCAAAACAGACTCACAGCATCCTTTCACCCTACCGGACGGTGAAATCTGGGAGACTGGTATCTGCTGATTTGGCTAAACAGACTGCAAGTCTGGAATCCAAAGGTGTCTACAAACATTTTCACTGATTGTCGTTCTGTTCTCTCCGTGTTTTAGCTTTGATCATTTTGTAACCCACAGCCTGTCTTCTGGAATAAATGATACGAGCAAATTAAAAAGGCACATTGTGCACCACGGGCCACTCAGCTCCAGCCTCAGAGTCACCTGCAATGAAAACCACTTCTTGCCATCAGGGATTCAGTGATATGGATGGGATTTCTTAGAAACCAAAACTGACAAATATTCTCTGGCTTGTACTTCTGGATAGGGACGAAGTCTTATTTTTCACAGAGAAAAAAGAAAAGCGGGGGGAGTATGTTTTCAGTATCAGACTGGCCATCAAAGTTTTCACGGACCTTTAATAAGTGACTTTTTTATTTTGAAAATTAAGAGTTCAATAACGGTGGTCCAGAAATCACTTTGTTACACTCAAGGGATGTGATGCCTCTACTTTGGGAATCTCAGTTCTGGTGACAGCAGTGGTTCGGGAGGCATCTCAGGAGACACACCAGTCAGAGCAGAGCTCCCAGAGGCCAGGGTGGCCTGACAGTCACCTCGTGCCACCAAGCACCGGGCAGCCAAAGCCTGTAAGCAGGGCGGGGGAGGGAGCCAACAAGCCAGCACCCTAGCGCGCCAGGCTCCACGCCCCTGTGCTGTGTTCTAAGAGGAGGCTGCTCTCCCACCACTTCCCCAGGAAAACAACGCCCTAGTGCAGTCTCGCAACCTCCTAGGGATCAGCAAAGGACTTCCATTGAAAATAATGGAAATTCACATTGGTGCATTGTGATCCTTGAAAGGAAAGTCTCCTTTGACCTTGAAGATATTCTCTCAAGCCAGAAGGACTGGTAGTTTGGGGAGGAGAGATGTTTAAAAAGGAGGATGATCCATTTCATCAAGCCAAGAGGCTGGGCTAGTTGGAAAGTCGGGATAGCCTACACTGCTTCCTGTGGAGATGTCAGAGGTGGGTCCCCCAGCCATGGCTCTCAGCGTCTGGCTTACTCCCTGCCCTGCATGCGCAATGATGCCCAAATTACTGTCCACCGTGTAATCCAGCCCATTGAGCAAAGGAGCGTGGGATGGCAGGGACGATATGGAGGATGGAGACTGGGGGATTCCATAGGGGCTCCCATCCCTCAAGTCCTGATAGGATTGTCCTGTCCCGTCCATGGAGAAGCTCCCATTCATTAACTGTCCGCCTGTAACGTCCCCCACGTTGCCATAAATCCTATTGGTGTGGCCAAGTTCTGAGAGAATTTGATCCTCTGTGGACAAAAGAACGGAGATTTATTGTCAGCTGCCATGACTCTGGTGGTCCCCTGCTCTTCACAACCTAGGAATACACATGCCCGGGAAGGAAGCCACAGCATGGCAGCTGCCTTGCTGCCAAGCATGAGTCAGACACCAGCATATCAGCCTGACATCCAGAGACTGACCCACATCAAGGGGAAAAACAGAAGGAACACCTGCAAAGACTAAACGCCCAGGTCCCAGAAGGCTGGGCAAATGTTTGATGAGCTTGTTGGTCCCATGTGGCTGATGTGCTATGATACTCTAGCTATACTGAGGAATATGAATGCCTGGGGCTTGGTGGGTCATGTGTTAGCCACATCACATGGAAATTACGTGTTGACAAGATTTAATCTGAAAGCTCTCAAGCTATGAAAAGTGTTTGGTTTAGTTGGTTGGGAAATAGGCAGGCCCACATGTAAGGAGAGCTGAGGACCACTCTTAGATATGTGTACCAAATCCTCCTGGTCTACCTGGAAAAGCAGTTCAATATCAAAGGACTTGGTTTCTCTATCAAATAAGCTCTTCACTAGGGACCAAGTATTGACTTGATTAAGGCAAACGGACCTTCTTGTTTCTTGAAGAATTTCATTAAGGGGATCTAATGGAATCTTTGCACCTGGAAGAATTCATCTCTCTAACAGAGGTGAGCAGTTTTAGTCTTAAGAAATAAAGGATTATATAATTACCTGGAGACACCAATGATATGTCAACCTGGGGACCCACTTGCACTCAACAGAAAGGAGCTACAAAACAAGACGTAATCCTGTATCTTCCAGACGTCGATTTCAGCAGCTCAAATGAGATTAAGTGGCTCTCCCAACCCCGCCAAGAGGCCTTGAAGGTGAGCATGAGGCCCTTGAGCTCTCCCCAGGGCCTCACAGGGCAGAGCTCTAGGCTGAGCTACCATCCTCTCAGGGCATCATGCTCCTGGCAGGCGGCTTGTTCCATCCTCTGCCCCACACACTTCCTTTTCTATTCCCACCTGGGCCTGGGCATCAATTCCTATCAAGGCCTCTGCAGACTAGACTTCAACACCTGATCCCTGCTGACAACCTGCCCTAGGCCTGCCCCCGGGTCACCCATGAACATGAAAAGCGGGGAAGGGAGCTCATGCCCTGTACAGGGGGCGGGAAGATGAAGGCTCAGCTCCTCTGTAAAGGGCCATTATTTGGCCTTTTGCCTATTCCCATCATCCCGTATGACCAGGGCCCTCTGTGGGAGCCACTGTGGGGACAGTCATGTCTTCCAAGTGTAAAAATGTGCTGAGCTTTCCCCAAACACATCCATAGTCAGTTGTGTTCACTGATCTCCATAACAACACTGTGAGATGGGCAAGGATGTGGTTATTCCCCATTTATAGATGGGGAAACTGAGGCTCAAGAGAAGTGAATCCATTTGACAGAGCCACAACTGGAAACCAGATTTCTGAGCCCCAGCTCAGTACTCTTCCCTTCCCCCGACAACAGAAGACCTTCCACATTTGAGCACTCAACAAATGAGAACAGTTACGGCTATTTGCAAACAACCCAAAGATCCAAAACATGCAGTAATTTGCAATTTTGCTGATGCACAAATTTGAGTGTAGCGCATGCTGCAAAGCTTATGTGCAGGGGACAGGATGAGTGAGCAGTAGGGGAAGGGATTTCAGAAATGAGCCCAGTCCCCACCTCACATGCACTCACAGGACTCAGTTCCCAGGGCCGAGGGCCTGTTGAGCATGTCCTCCCCACCACCACGAGGGGAGAACGGGGTCACTCTAGGGGATCACAGGAGGGAGGCCAGTGCCCCTGCAAAGGGCAGAAATGCAAAAGGGGGCCAGGGGCACGAGGCTAAGACAGCTATCTGTTCACAGCTACACGGGCTGGTGAGGGAGCCCCCAGTCAGCAGGAGAGGAGGGGAGGCCTTGGGGCCTGTGGTCCCCGGAACCCAGCTTCCACTCTCAGCAGCAGAGCTCTCTTGTTCTCTACTCCTTGTCCCATCTTGAAGGGTCACTACCATTTCCCCCATCCTTTACTGCAAGTCGCAGGGAAGAACACGTGTTCAGGAGGGAGTTGTCAAGGCCTCAAGAAAGATCCCTCCTGAGTGTCAAGGGTTACTGTTTCCCAGGGGCCTTTCCTAAGGCCTCGGCCTCACCCCTCCAGCCCTGCTCACCTCGGAAGCTCAGCTCACTGTCACTAACCCCACAGTCCTCGGCAGAGCTCTCCTTCTCCTGCTTGCTGCCTCCCCGGCTCCTCTTGACGCTCTTGTAGAACTGGCCCCAGCGATGCCGCCCCGCGTCCTTCTTCAGGCGCTTCTCCTTGGCCCTTCTGTTCTGAAACCAAACCTGCCACACAAGCACAGGGACACACTCGGGGTGTCCACCACCAACCCAAAGCCCCGAGGTCCCCAAGACAGGTGGCTGGAGACAGGGACTGAAGCCTCAGGAGATGTCAGGGCCAGGAGTGTGACATGCCCACTACTCCCTCTGCCTGGGCATCAGAAATCTGTCTCTGATTCTGGAAAATTCCTGGGATCATGGCCCTGAGTCCAACTCTCCAAGGGGATCAGTGACAGTGCTGATGAGGTGACACCGTTATCGCTCCCTAAGCCTCCCTTGTGCGCAGTGACCGGCCCAGGACACCCTCCATCCCTGCTCTGGCCCCAGGCCTGTCAGGAGTGGCCTGGGCCCGGGACCCTAGCCAGCAAAGGAGTCCTGGAGCCTGGGGTAGCTGGTGTCTCACCTGGACGACCCTCATGTCCAGGCCCGTCTCCGAGGAAAGTTGCTCCCTCACGTGTCGGGCGGGCTTGGGGGAGTTCTTGTAGGCATTCTTTAACGTCTCCAGCTGCTTCGCTGTGATGGTGGTCCGGGGCCGCTTAGCTCCGGCCTCTGAGTCGTCTGCAATGAGAACCACTTCTCACTGGGCTTGGCCTGTCTGAAGCAGCGGGGTCTCATCCCCCTTCCCTCAGGTAATCCTGCCCGCTATGGGCAGAGCAGTGGGGAGGAATGGGGAACATCAGAGGGGAGCAGTCCCAACACCCATGGAGCCCACTCCCACACCACAGGCCTTCTCGAAGCACTGAAAAGTGAGGACCACTGCCCCACTTCTTCCCGCAGCTCCTGCCTCTCCCGTCCCCTGCCAGCCCAGATACACGGGGCTGCCATCAGACCGAAGGTGTACAATTCCATGCATTTCCCTGTCACGACACTCTGGATGGACATCCTCGTGAGTTATTACCAGGGCTGTGAAGGTGAACAAGCCAGAATGAAATCTGTGCTCTGGACTGCCCCAGATGCCCCTGCCCCTCCTCCCTTCAGGAGGTCCCATTTTCCCCTGGTCCCACTCATGGCCTCATTGCCTTTGCCATGGCCTCCCTGGACTCAGAGTAGGGGTGACCTGCACACTCACTAGTCGTCTAAGCAATGTTCATAAATTATGGGTCAAAACCCACTAGTGGGTTGTAAAGTCAATTTAGTGGATCAAAAACTAAATGAGGAAAATAAGATGGATGGGATGGGATGGGGTGGGGTGGGGTGGGATGGGATGAGATGGGGTGGGGTGGGGTGGGATGGGATGGGATGGAGGGATGGGGTGGGGTGGGATGGAATGGAGGGATGGGATGGGATGGAGGGATGGGATGGGATGGAGGGATGGGGTGGGGTGGGATGGGATGGAGGGATGGGATGGGATGGGATGGAGGGATGGGATGGGATGGAGGGATGGGATGGGATGGAGGGATGGGGTGGAGTGGGATGGGATGGAGGGATGGGATGGGATGGGATGGGATGGAGGGAGGGGATGGGATGGGATGGGATGGAGGGATGGGATGGGATGGGATAGATGAAGGCAAGTATTGTTTCATGAAACTTGTTGAGTGCTTGCTGTATGAATATGTGTGCTGAGTTGAAACGTAAAATGAGTTTCTTACTGTAGATCATAGCCAAAACTTTTGAAAAAAACTGAAGAGTGTTTAGGACAACATGCTGCCTGATCAACAGTCTTCAATGAATTCTATGCAGACAAGCCTCAAGTTCCTATTAGTCAAAGGCTGGTTTGTTCTCAGGCAGAGTCAGGCACAGGGAGAGGCACCTGGCTGGTTCAGGAGCACAGAGCCAGGGGTCAGTGGTCGTGTCCTCTCCCAGCACTCAGACTTCCGTTCTCTGCATTCTCCAACCCCTGCGGTCACCAGGAGTCAAGCCAACAACTGTCATCCTGGCTCTCTACGTTCTCTGGGCTCCTCTATGTGTGTCGTTTAAACTGCCTCTGCTACATTCCTACCTTTCTCTCTTTCTTTTCTCCTTCCTTTCCATTCAAGAAAACCCTCTCTGAGGAACAGCAATAATAACAGCCAACACTTATTAAGTGCCTCCTATGTGCCTGGAGAGCACATATGTATCTGAGAGCTCTACATGCATATGATCATCAGGACAATTCTAAAGGGTTTTTCTTGGAGTCAGAAGACCTGGGTTCAACATTCTTGAGTGAGTGACATGGGCAAGTTACTTCCCCACTCTGAAGCCTGGGCAACATCGCCTGCCTTGAGGGGGAAGCATGTTGTAGGAATTAAGTCACGTGCAGCCCGAGTCTGCACTGGTCACGCACACAGCGGAGAGGGGACGAGGCCCAAGTCCTCTCTTCTCCTCCAGCTGTTTCCTTCTTCAGGAAAGCCACTGTCATCCTTGCACCCCTGCCACCCAGTTCCCTCCTGGAGTCCTGGAACCAAAGCAGAAGGGTTCCAGAGCCGCTGCAGCAGACGCCGAGGAAGACCTCCAACATTCTTCACTTTAAATTCTGTTAGAAGGAATCAGTCCCTTCAGCCCATATTTACAGAGATTATAGCGTGACAGCGTTTGATGCAAATATGAAATACTGCACTTTGAAAATACCTCTACAGTCTTCATATATAAACTTTGGAATAATGAAACCACCAAAAGAAGTTTAATTCATCAAGAATTGCTTAATTTCAAAAGAGATTGGCCTAGTGAATTAGAAATTGTTTTCACCACAGCCAGATGGCAGCGCCACTGGGCCACACACCTGTCGTCCTGAGTTGGTGGCCCACTGGTTCCACACGGCTGTCTCTGTGCACAGGACTTTCTTCTTGAGACTATGGAGACCATTATGCTGTTATTTTAACATTCACTGTTATTATAATTTAAAATCTTTTTTATATCCTATAACAATGTCATCCAAGTATTCATTAAGTAGTGGTGGCAGTGCTCGTGCTGAAAAATGTACCCAAAAATCAATAACTTTGGTACGGAAGTTAAATGTGATAAAACACTATGAGGAAGGCCAAGCAAGACCATGATACCCTGGGCTGTTAATTTAGGAGAGAGCCTTCTGCACAGTATTAGAGATAGTGCTGAGAAAATAAAAAGTAACATTAAGGCAAAGATACACTTCACGGCTTATGGATTTATGTGCTCCCAGAAAACATCCCCCCCTACTTTTTATATTAATTCCTATGGGGAAATTAGTCTTAAAATATGTTAGTTTTGAATTATGCAGGGTCTCCTAGCCCTGGTCCCTGGCATAAAATGCAACCTCATTATATTGAAAATGCAAATATCCAAGGAGATGTAACAAATGAACAAAATCATTCACACCAAGGTCCAAATAGCTGATATTAGATCCTTTGTGTAGCACAAGGGAGGGAACTGTAAGCCTGAAAGAGGGTTTGGATTAGCAGGCAGGAATTAAAACATAAGAAGACGGAGCGGGATGCCCCACAGCAGACATCGCGGATCACCCAGATTTCACAGGATGGAGGGGCCCCTGCCTTGCTGGCAGCCAGGAGCGGGAGGAACACATCAGAAATACCGTGTAACCTTCAGCTACTTGGAAACCTAAAGCAGAGCTCATCTCCCTGTTTGCATTCCACTTCCACGCTGCTCTCACCCGCATTTAAAATCCCATTGCACAAGCATCGGCCTATTTAAACCTCAGGAAACAGCCCTATGTGACAGGTGCTATTATCCCCCCGAGATAATAGCAGAGCTGAGAAGCCAAGGTTCCACTAGTTACACAACTTGCCAGGGGACCCTCCAGTTAGTGAGCAGCTGAACAGAGATGCCCACCAGGCTCTGATGCCAAATCCAGTGTCTGTCCTTTGTCCTCCAGAGGTCTGCTATGGTGCAAATAATCCATGATGAAAGTGTTAGCCCCACTATGTCATTCTTGCCTCCCCGGTTAGTCTCAGCTTCTCTTGAACCATCCACAGCAGCAGCGGATGCCAGGCTGCGAATGTTCAGGGTCTAAAGGAGCCTTGGACAATGAGAAACTGCCGCGGGCCCCGGGGGAAGCCATGTGTTCTTAGTATCTCTGGTGAAGGGCATCAGAGCTCCAAAGGCAGCTTGGATCTCTGAGTCCATCTGCTTTGATGGTTTATCCCTGACAAGACGCCCTAATCTTCTGTGACATCATAATTGACTCCAAAGCAACAGCATCGAGTGAGTTTTAAGGAACCACAGCAGATTAATACATTAAGGCAAAGAGCCTGGGAATGCGCTTGCAGAGGCCCTGGGAAGAGGAGGAGACCGACCGAAGGCCTGTTCACCCTGAAAGGCCAGAGCTGTGGGGGTGGTAGGAGAAGAGAGTTGGAGCCCCTGACGCGGACACCCCTGCAGCGCCACCCTTCGCACCTCCCCCCAGAGCCAAGCTCGGCTCCCGCTGCCACCCCAAAAGGGCCTCCCCACCACCACACACGCTGGATTGTAAACTGCATTTATTTAGAGAAAAACTAATTTCGCCACGTATTGATCAGATCCATCTAACATATGTGTGTGGGCCCAGGAAAGATCTGGAAGGAGATACGTGAAATTCTTTCATCAAGCCCAGAGCTATCAACGAGGGCGACTTTCCGCAGGAACACCCTGAATTGATAAAAATTCTAGTCAAAGGCAAACGACCCTGATGTTTTGTGAGTTTGTGCGCCTGAGAGTTCCTGGTTGAGTCTGGCCAACTGCCGAATTTGGAGCCAGGGCGGAGGGCACACACCTGTGGACCCAGCTGTGCATGTGGAGCCCGAGGCAGGGCTGCAGGAGGGGGGAGCTGGACTGGGCCTTCCTGAGGGGAGTTGGGGGGGACTGGGGGATCTGATCCCTGTCCGGGCCCGGGAAAGGCCCGGGGCTGCCCAAGAGCATGGCACTGGAGGGCAGCAGCAGCTGCTGCCGGGGCTGCGCCTGTGCAGGCAGGCTTTGCAGGGGAGGCTGCTGTGCGCTGGGGCCTGACACCAGCCTCTGCCTGTGCTAGGGGTGTCTGCTGCAGACTGTGGCCAGTGGCCCTCGGGTGGTCTGGGGAAGGGTGGTGGGCAGGTGGGCAGCCCTAGGGTTCAGCTGGAGTCTCCCTGCCTGTGGAGAGTGGCCGAACGCTTGCTCCCACATCCAGGGCCTCAGGAGACACAGGAGTCATCCCCCCTGAGTCCCTGCCCTCGAGAAGCCCCGCAGTCTGAGAAGGAAATAGAGCACAGCTCACTGAAACACCAGCGGACCGTCATAAGGGTACCTGGGGCCAGTGCGAGGGCTCTTGCTGATGAAGCCTGTGAGGTGTGGGGGTGCTGAGGTCAAAGGGCACCCCGATATACAGGACTAAGGCGCAACCCCAAGCGTCCAGTGTAGACAGAACACCCTCCCCACCCTGCCCCAGGCAAGATGATGAGCACAAGGTCCCTGGCTGCCTCTGAGCCCACCAGCTAGTAAGGGAGACAGGGTGCTCTCAGGAGCCATGACCTGATTAATGGGGCGGTTGAGAATTAACTCTCCCTGTAGAAATCTGGGAAGGCTTCTCAGAGGAGGCAGGACAGCTGGGACTCAGGCAGAAGGATGCCTCAGGCAGAGAGCCCGGCCTGAACGAGGCCTGGAGGAAGGACCGTGCAGGGCAGTGCTGGTTACCGTTCTGCTTGGCCGTCTCGTAGTCCTCCTTGCACACCAGTCGCCCGTCCTCCATGAGGTAGAACTCGTCCCCTGTGGCCAGCTGCCGGTTACAGATGATGCAGGCGAAGCAGTGCAGGTGGTAGACGAAGTCCTGCGCCTTGCGGACCACCTGGGTCGGGGGGATGCCCTGCTGGCAGGCCGTGCATTTTGTGCCGAAGCGCCTGTCAGGGGAGCAAGAAAGGGTTAGAGCACAGGGGGTATGTGGCTTCCCCCGACTTCCCATTGGCCCCTCTCCCATCCCACCATTCCAGCATGTCCATGGGCATCAACCCCTGGGTCACCCAGTGCTTGCCATCTGGTCCCCTCTGCCTCCAACCAGCCTGATTGCTTTGTGCTCTGGGCTCTTGAACCACAAAAGGAAGGGGCTGGATCAGAACTCAAGTCTCCGGGGCCTTTTCCGAGGCTGACAACCCAGGGCTCCAAATTGCCTGATGAACACCCCATCAATTCACCCAGGGTTGTAGGAGTTTCTAAGTCCCTCTGAGCAGCCTGCTCCACCCTCCGCCTCCTGGTTCCTTCAACTTTATGGTCAGGCCTAGAGGACCAGCCCCACAGGGCAACTGCATGTGTCCATGGGCTTTGTGCTTACAGCATCCAGCAAAACACCTCTTCACGTGCTCCCACAGGAGGAATCCACCTGGGCCCACAGGTGCCAATGTCCACACTGGAGCTCTGGAGAAATCTCACTTCGGCAGGAGGGCAGGGCTCTCCCAAGGGTTTCTCTCTCCTGCCTTGCCCCTCCGACTGGCACACCAAAGCCCCCGGAGCCCCTTCCCATGCACAGCCCCGGAGACAGGGTGATCTGGAGTGGGCCCAGCAATCTGCATTTTCACGCCCCTGTGCCACTCGGGGCAGGGAGTCTGCAGACCTCAGTTTGAAAAATGCTGCTTCAGACCTCTCCCTGTCTACACCTTTCTGGACCAGGACAGAGGCAGGAGGAAGGCACCTGCTGCCACCCTGGGCCGAGGCCAGGAAGGGAGGAGAAGCAGACACATTGAAAATATAGTCCAGTGCGGTCATTTAGGCCCCTCTCCCCATTCTGGCCGTAGACATAGAGCCACACCAGTGGCCGTAGAGGCCAGAGGGGAATCTGCGGCCAGTGTAGACGTGGGCAATGAAGGGGGTGCCCCACTGCAGGTGAGCCTTCCCCGCTCAGCAGGGAGGCGGGAGGGGTTGGGGAGGCAGGGGCAGAGTTTAAAACAGCAATCAACCTAATTATTCATGACATTTCACACAGCAGAACTTTATCTTCTTCAGGATGAAAGGCTTCGCCTAATGGATCTGGGGAAGGTTTGATTTTAATGGTCCTTTTAACTAATGCTTATAGGCAGCCTGATTTCCCCTGAAAGGACAGTACATATTTCATCCACATTAATACCAAATAAATTAATTATGGTCATGGCTATCATGATGAATCCCAGATTAATGCAGAATGATGGGTCTCTTATGCAGTAATGATACCTGCTGGGGGGCTGCAGGGGCCTGGAGCAGGCGTGGCCAGCTGCGGTTCAGAAGTCCCCCCTCCCAGGGACACGGTGTCACAGAGAGAAGTGGGGGAGTGTCTAAGACGAGATGGGTAACCCCGAAAGAGCCAGGAGCGTGGCCCAGGGGACTGCTCTCTGAGACGAGATCTGAGAAGGGAGTTGGGTTTGGGGGACTGAGGGATCTGGCTCCGAAGGACCCCAGACTTCTGGACTCCTGGAAGGCCTCTTGGGTCTGTGAGGCTCAGGACGGACACTGTAAACCACCGCCGAGTGGTTCAAGATCGTGCATCAGGAGTGCGGCCGGATTCCATCAGATTGTCAAAGGGGTCCAGAACCCACAAATGAAGAGTTAATATTTGTTGAACAAATATATGAGTGAATAAAGAACCATGCTTTTACAGGATGTGCACAGAGATGGCTGAATCTGAGGATGGAGAACAAAGTATACTGTCAGTTCTAGATGGTTCTGTCCCTCCCAGAACACAGGTGAGAACCAGCCTTCTTTGAAACTGCTATCTAACCACGTCACTTGTATCAAAGAGGAAGGCAGGCAGGCACACAGCCCCAACCTGTGAGTGTGTGTGTGTGAGTGAGTGTGTTTGTGAGTGTGTGCTTGGGGGACAAAGAGAAAGGAAGCCTGTATATGTGGTACTAGAGTGTATTTTCTAAATACATGTAGTTTTTTCTATCCAGTCCAGGCCAATTCGTAAAGCAGGTGTCGGAAATGAGACAATGCCTTCAGCACGCTCCCTGCGAAGCCTCCCAAATAAGCCACGCAAACTCCGGAGTGTCCAAGTCTTTTGCTGCAAATGCTGGAGCAGACGCATCTCCAGAGAAGAACTAGGGTTTTCCAAAAAGCAAGTCCTATCTTGCGGCCAAAACAGGGGGGCAGGGAGGGGAGGAGGCGGAGGGCTGAGGGGAGACTCCAGAAGGAGCGCGGGCCCTCCATCGGCCTCTCCCACAGAGAGGGCCACATCCCTCTCACCACTAAAAAGCAGACAGTGGCTTTCAGTAACCAGAAACCCAGTTGACACCAGAGCCCCAGAGACATGAAGGATAACGGGGGTATAAATTTAATCTACATACCGACAGTGATTCATGCACGAGGGTGGCAAGTGCACAAGAAAAATGAAAAATAAATGGACTTTCCCACCAGCGTTTTTTAGCAATTGAAGCAATTTTCCTGATTGTGGGATTTATACCGATGGTAAGTGGACATTGCTCCTTACTACCTTTCTCCCCTGGAGCACAGCCAAGGGGACCCTCGCTGAGGGGACTGTGTGCATCCCCTTGGCTCTCAGGGCTCCCCCAGCATCGCCCAGCCCTGAGGGGCACCCCCACCCCCACTTCTGGTCAGAGCCAGGGGACTGGGAACAAGGTGCTGTCTCGCGGGAGTGTATGTGCGATGAAGTCACCTTAGACCAGGCAGAGTCACAGACAAGCAAGCCACGGCCTGGAGAGGCCACACGACTTGTTCTGCAACAGGCAAGAATGAGATGGCCATGGTTACAATTCCCTGGTCCAGAATGAGGTAAAGCTGGGAATTTGGCTGCTATACAGAGAGGCAATAAGTCTAACCAACCTGACCAAATTTGGAGGATGCTGGGGCAGGGGCGGGGCTGGACACCGGCCAAGGAAGAGGCTTCTGAGGGATTTTCCAGGCAGTCCCACCACCTTCATCCTACCACTGAGCGCCTACTGTGTGCAGGGCCCTGCCCACTCAGCTGCAAACCGCACTGACCTCGCTCACCAGAAGGACAATCTCTCTGGTCAGCCCTGCCTGGCCAGGCCTCCAGGGGCGGCTGGTCTCCCCAGGGAGAGCAGCTGGAGCCAATCCAAACGACAAAGAAAATGCAAGGAAGGACTTGCTAATGGCTTACGTTACTTTCCTCCTCAGACCAACATCACCGGCAGTTCTCTCACCCCCGCCTACATGCCGCAGGCAGGCAACAAAGGCCCACGGGTGAGTGAACCAAGACCGACCGCTCAAGGGATGAACTTATGCACTAACTGCAGTCAGGAGAGGACAGTCAACACAAACCAACAGCAGCTCCTGTGGAGGGCTCTTCTAAGGAGGGAATTGAACCCGGTTGAAATGAGGCCTGCAGTTTGCTAAAACAAGAAACTTTCCATCCGACTCTGCTGTCATCACCACACTCATTCCACAGATGTTTCCTGAGCGCCCAAACTGGAAAGGTGGGTGTTAGGATACCTTCTAACAGATAAGAAACTGAGGCTCGGCTGGTGAGGTGCCGGCCGCAGCTCACACAGGCAACAAGTGAGGGAACCAGGGTTTGTACTGGGTGCTTCTGCCAACACAGCTGGCATCAAGGCAGCAAACATCCACTGAGAAGACAACCATGGTGCCCCTACCCTAGAATGGAGCTCGGGCAGAGGGGCCCTGGCCCCCTCAAGCATCCCCAGCTGCTCTGAGCCAGCACGCAGGAGGCTCCCAGCCCCGCACCGCAGGGGCTATCCTGGGAGCCTTCACCGCAGGGGTGTCCACCCCAACACGCGGACTGACCCTGCTCACCACCCTTCCGCGGGGTCTGGGCCTGCTCGCTGTGGAAATGCACCAGACGTCACAGCCAACATTCTGGGGCTGCCCCTGGCCCTGGGAAGGCGGCCAGGCCTGTGTCCTTGGTCCAGTGCTCTGCTCCAGTGCTCAGCCTGAGTTCCCATCTGCCTGTTTATCTGTCCACCAGGGCTGCTCGTGACAGGCCTGGTGGGACTGCTCTTAAGTGCAGGGACAAACTTGGGGGGTGTCTGGATCCTACAGAAAGGGCAGCAGGCAGGCCCTGCAGGCACCATACCTTCTAGAAACAGGTACACATAAATCCTATACCACAGATGTTCTGGCACATTCCTGATTTTAAATTCTGTCCTCTAGTCAGGCCAGGGACCATATTCTGGTCATTAAAACACAACTAATAAAGCAGCTCCCATTTATCAAGCCCTACTGCGTGCCCCTGTGTGTACCTAACCTCACTTAACCGTCACCACCAGCCCCCGGGGCCACAACCCTGCCACCCTCCTGGGCCAGTCACTGCCACCCCAACATCAGCCCCCATCCTTGGCGAGTTTAGCTCCTGGCTCACCATCGTTCTCACTGACCCTCCCGCCATAACCCGTGGTGACTTCAACATGCACACACAGTCCTTCCTGCCCTGCCCTCTCAATCCTTTGACTTCTCCTGAAGGTCATGGCCTCTACCTTCTTGAGTCGCTCACTCCCATGGTCTGCCCCAGACCTTGTCACCAGGAACTGCAGCTCCTCTGGGAATAATTTCCAACTATTCCACCGTCCAGCCACCACACCCTGTCCTTCCAGCTCGCTCCCTGCAGCACCCCAACTCCCACTATCCTGCAACTAGTTAATCCTTTTCACCGTCCCTCACTCCCCTGGCGGCGGCGCGTGCCTCCTCACCCAGGAGACACTCTTCGGTCCATCTTACTGACCCCTCCCTTGCACACACCTTCAACTCCCTGCCCGCTCTCTACCCTCCACCCCCTGCCCAGCACTGGGGTCTGAACACAGCGAGGGCAACACACCACCTGGCTGACGGTGCTCACTGTAAATTTATGATCGGGACCTCAAGAGCGCCTGGGAAACAGTCCGCTTCCCTGGTCCACGCGCTCTCCCGCCCTCCCAGGTGCCGTCTCTCTCTCAAGCCCGCA